GACTACCAATTGGCCAGCAAGTTGCCCCATTTTTAATATGTATTTATTTATTTTATTTTTCTTTATTTAAATATGAAAACATGAATATAAAAATCACATAATTAAAGATAAATTCATAATAATGTAAAAACCATTTTTCTCAATTTAAAGTAAATTAAGTTATTTTTCATGAGTTAATGTATAAAATATATTATTAAACTAACTATCAAACTCATGATAATAAATACTTATTACACCTGCTAACTTGGATCATTACTAGCGACTTAGCAATGTTTTATCATTAAATCATTCCTTCAAAACATGTATTCTAATTTTTTCCTTAAAAACTCATTCTTAAATCTTAAATCACAGCCATTATAAAAGGTAAAATCATTAACTCTACAATCCTTGAATATAAGTAGCACCATTATACCCCAAAATGAATACTCACATTTTAATGTTAGAAAGAATTGTTTAAAGTTGATGAATCATCACATGGTTCAAAATCACAAGATACAATTTGAAAAGAGTTATAGATCTTTGTGTTTTACACTCCTCGAAATGACATACTTGATCTAATTTAGCCTTGTTTATGAATTCAGCCTTCCTCTAATTCGTAGTCATCCTCCCCCTATTTGTCTTAAATAACCATCTAGTACCTAGATTCATCATCCAATCCACATTCTAACTTTTGGTCATGGGTTTGAAGATTACATCTCCTCTCTAATTGGTTTGCATGGGATTACAAGTAGAAGATAGAATATGAGAATAAATTTTCACTTCCCCTTTTTATGACATATTTTTGTCCTCTTCTTTTCTTTTTCTTTGTTCTTCTCTTTGTCTATGTCCACTATCTAAGAATCTACGTGTTATTACACTCTACTAGAGCAATTGTTCAACAAATGTACTGTTGATTATTGGGCTCAACCCATTGAGAATTTCACCTCAAAACTCTTTTCTAAATTTACAGCTCTAGAAGGTCAATAGTTTATTACAAGCTTCAACTCTTTTGAATGATTAAACATCAATTTAATCATTATTTTTTCCCCAAAAGTATTATATAGTATTTCACCATGTATTATTTTTGGATGAAGGCATTGACTTAGGACAAGTTTGGAAACTTGATGCAGAAGATGATGGTAAAGACACAATTCTTGCTATCCTCTTCCTATAAGGAAGTTGACTGGATGTAAAAAAAGTTATTGGCTTAAATTGAATTCCTTGACTCATCTTCTTGTTTTTTCACTAGCAAAGAAAAGCTCTTGAATCCACATAGAATGTTTTTTGTAAAATGCCAACAAGAATTTTGAGATGGTCAAAAGTGATGAATTAGAACACATTAACTACTGAAGAGGTGTTAATTTATAAAGAGACTTCATTGAAAAACTCTCATATTGTCTTTAGTTGCAATATATTTAAATTCTAAAGCTATTTAAATATTTAAATGACCGAAAGGTAATAATACATGAACTATAGACTTCAAATATCCTCTGAAATAAATCAATACATGCTACCACTAAATACAAAAATATATTTTTGAAGCTTATCAATTTGACTAAGTCCAATAAAGATTAGTTAACATCAAAATATAATTGATAATAAATCTCAAAATAAACTAATGAGTTAAGAATCAAAATTTATCCAAATAATCTCAAACGTATTTTGATCATCTAGTAGACACATTGATCATGATCTCCAAATAGAAAATCATAACTTCAATGTTGACTAGTAGTTGTTTGATTTCAATTCAATAGATTAATTTGATATCCAGACTATATGAAAGTAATGATTTCTAAACATGGGTATTTGGTGTACTAAGTTAACTTTTATACAGATTTTATCTCATTAATTCTCTCTGATTATGGAGGGCTAATCATTACTTTCCCACATTTACAGTTTCTATAAATATTATGAAACAATAATTTCAAGTGGTAAAATCTACTAAATTTGGGAGTTAAATATTATGAGATTCACATGCATTGTTTGGGTTACTATTTGAATATTTTTTGTTAATACTCTAAATTCTTTCTGAATTTATATTTATTTACATATAAACTCATACATAAATAATAGTTATTTATAAATTAAGCACAGATGTTAAATATAAATTAATATTTTAATTTATCTCCTAGGTGTATGTCATTATCAAAATATTATATATTTAATATTCTAACACATTTATTTCAATGAGCCAAGATAGATAATTCTAAGCCCATCTCCACACCCATTAATACATTATTAATACATGTAAATTTTAATACTATTTCCAACCATGTATAATTTTATTTATATAGAAGACATGTGGAGGTTTTCAGGACCTCAATATTTTTCATTCATATATTGAATTTGTAGTTAATTGGACATGTCAGTTCATGTACGACCTACAGATAAATTATCAAATACATCATGTATTCTCTAAAGAAAGTTATCAAACATAGTTTACTTTGATGGTACTTTAGTCTTTAACTTGGTACTTTAAATAGTGCAAGTTAAGTTGGGTTTTGATAGCGTTCAATGAACCACAAACAAGTACCTTATTTTCTTAAGGTACAACTTATGTCATTAAGATGTAAGAAGTATGTCCAAGTCTTAGATCTGGCACCAAAGTATAACACAAAGATAGTTGCAGATCACATTATAAAGTTAATTTGGATGTGTTCATTTCTACATTGACTTCATATTTTATGTGTGAGTAAGTGGTATCAAAACAAATCCTAGTATTCTTGGTCTCCACAAAGGACTAAGAAGCAAATATTCTTACTAAAAGACTCTCAAGTAGTCTCTTCTTGAGAGATCATCACAATGTGATATATTAACTTGGTTTGATTGGGTGTTGATGCAGGACGGGACGAGAACTCTTGTACATGATCAATGAAACTCAAGACCGGGGATGGGGCAGTCGGACCGATCTGATAAGAATGTATGGATCCTAGACTCTAGGTCTGACCACCTAACCTAAGTACAGGCAGGCGTACCAATATGTACTATCAACCTAGGACAACCCAAGAAACACTCGACGATGGTAAGTGTGAGACCCTCTCGGTCCACATCTGGACAGACGGCGGAACGGTCATCGTGAAGTAGCCTAGGGCTGTAGCTCACAAACGGTGACGAGTCTGACGCAGCGTCAAAAGTCACGATCCTATAACCCGTCCTATCCTATCTACGTTCTCTAGATGGCAGTGGAAATGAGCCGAGAAAACCCTTCGAAAGATAATTAAACTTAAGTAAGAAGGGGGTACGGAGCTAACCTTCGGGGCTGCATAGCCTGGCGGGTCGTGATGGAGCGGAGACTCGACGTAAGTAGAGACGTCTGGTGAAGAGCGATGCTCAGCGTCAACGATTGATCCTGGTCGAGAGTCGTAGTAGTCGTCGTCGTAAGGCGTGGTGTGGTCGGCGTGGGCGTGGGCCCACTGGTGGGCTGAAGGGCACGCTAGTGAGAGCGCACGGCAAGCCGCGCAGTGTGCCTTGGGCATGCGGGCAGTGGCGCCAGGTGGGTGTGCAGGCCGCAGGAGCCGGCACGGGGGGCACGCGCAGCGGCGGCGCTTCGGCGGGAATGCCGAGCATCGGTGGTTGGGCGAAAGCCCAACTGTTGCCGGAAGGATCGGCCTTCTCTGGCAGCGTCGGGAAGTGGAGCAGAGGAAGGAGACGATCCCGGCCGACGATACCAGGGAGGGTTGAGCCCTCCTGGTCTAGGCGGCGCCGGAAATGGCGCAACGGCAGCAGATCGTCGGGAAACTCCGGCGGGGGCCTGTGCGGAGCTTGGACTAGATCTGGCTCATCAGCACGGCTGCAGGGTCTCTCCTGACGTCAGCGGCAGGTAGGCGTTCGTTGGCGAACGGCCAGCGACTAGGCGGAGTGGCGGATGGTGGCTCCGGCGAGTTTATGGTGGAGTTCCGAAGGAAGAGGGGGTAGTCGAACTAGGAGTCAATAGACTCCGGTGGAGTGCTCGGCGACGGCTCGTAAGGAGGCGAAGCAAGCCCCTTTCGTCACAACGGTGTGACGGGGTTCCAACAAAGGCGGCGGCGGTTGCAGCGGCAACTGCGACCGTTTCATCCGGTGAAGGTGGCGATCTCACGAGCGGCAATGAAGATGTCTGGCGGTGACAGTTGGTCTCAGGCGGCGGCGGGACTTCTTAGGCAGCAGCGTCACGATGAACGAAGTCCTTAAAGGGTATCGACGGCCTTCTTCTCCCTCCTTCCCTCCCTATCCTAGGTCACGACGAAGGTAACTCACAAATGATAATCTCTCACAAAATTCGGCGCTTCTTGTTGAGGGAGGGTCCTACCTCCCCTTATATAGGGCCCACAAGTGGGCTAAGTGGAGGGGGGGCCACTTGAGGCCCTCAAGCCCATAAGCCACAAAAAGGCTACAAAAGGGGCTTATTGGGCCTCTAAAAGAGAGACCCAATAAGCTCCCCTAAAAGGAGAAAGAGGAGGGCCCTCGTACGGTGCTTAAGTGGGCCTCAAATGAAGACCTAAATAAGCCCCAAAAGAGGCCCAAAAGGAAAGACACATAGGTCCCCCCCCTTAGAGTTTTAATTGAGCCTGAAAAGAGAGACCCAATTAAACCATAAAGAAAGGGAGACACAAACAACAACACACACACAGAATTGGGCTCGCTAACACACAAATGTGAGGCCCAACAAGTCAACGTGAAAATACAAAGAAAGATAAGGGTGACCTCGAGCTCGTCGTCGTCACGGAGGTGGAATGTCGTCATCCCAAAGGGCTTGGCCGTGTAGCAAAAGCCAGGCTCCTTTGTCTTTGCACGTTGATCGAGCTGAACTCGGACTGCCGGTGTCTCTTGAGCTGATGGAGATGGGTCCCGCTTGCCATCAATCCTCTCGGGGTCGAAAGAACTCGACTCCGACGAGTTGGCAAGTGGGGAAGGCAGGGGCTCTAGCAGGTCTGGTCGTAGTCGCTCCAAGTTTGCCTCCAAAATCCAAGCATCGTCCTCCGACGGGTGACCCTGCCAATGTACTTGGAAGCTCTGCGAAACTCCGTTCCCTATAAAGTCAATTACCTCCTGAAGAATCTCCTCGACTCGCTCGTGCCAATCAAGAGGTAAAATGAGGGGAGTGGACTCTATGGCAAACTCTCTCTTAGAAAAGGGGCCGGTAGATGAGGGCTCGATGTTAGATGAAAGAGGTGGGGCTTGGTGCGACGCCAAATCCGCCATGTTGAATGTGGAGCTAATCCCCCACGAAGGAGGGATGTCGACGGCATAGGCGTTCTCGCCTATTCGGGAAAGAACACGAAACGGGCTGACGCTACGAGCATGAAGCCTCGTAGCAGAGCCAGGAGCGTAACGCTCGGGCCTCATCCTCACCATAACTTGGTCTCCCACTTGGAAGATCCAGGGTCGACGATGCATATCGGCAGCCTGCTTGTACAATGCATTCTGACTCTGTATCCTATCGTGGATGTCTTGATGCAACTGACTAACATGTTGGGCGAATGCGACACCATCCTCGGAAACTCTAACATGAGGGTCTAGGGGTACTAGATCTAGGGGCTTGTAGGGCGCTAAGCCCTGTGCGATCTCGAAGGGGCTCATGCTAGTGGTATAGTTGGTCGAGGAGTTATAGGCAAACTCGGTGCGTGATATGATCAGATCCCAAGTGGTCAAGCTCTTGCCGACTAATGACTAAAGCAGATTTCCTAAGCTACGATTGATGACCTTGATCTGGCCGTCAGTCTATGGATGGTAAGCAGTGGAGAACTTGAGCTTAGTCCCAAGTAAGCTCCAAAGAGTCCTCCAGAAGTGTTTGGTAAACCGTACGTCATGGTCTGAGACAATAGACTTGGGTAGTCCATGAAGGCGTAGAATCTCTCTAAAGTAGAGGCTAGGGACCTTGGAGGTGTCAGAGGTTTTCAAACATGGCACGAAGTGTGCCATCTTTGAAAACCTATTGACGACCACCATGATCGAGTCGTGTCGTCGTGCAGTGCACAGGAGTCCCAAAATGAAGTCCATGCTGACGTCGTCTCATTGGCAGGTCTGCACTGGAAGTGGCATGTAGAGTCCAACATTCTTCTTTACCTGCTTGGCGAGTGCGCACACTCGACACTGAGCAACGATGTTCCCTACATCGCGCTTGAGGGTCAGCCAGTAGAATTGGTACTCGACTGCTGCGATGGTCTTATCGCGACCGAAATGGCCGGATAGACCTCCTGCGTGACATTCTCAAGTGAGGAAGTCACGGAGGGATGTGCGTGGAACACACAGTCTGCTCCTAAAGAACAGACATCCGTTGACCACAAGGAAGTCCTTATGATCTCGGGATGGACCATCCAAGAGTGCTCGTAGAACGTGGCCGAAGTCCGGGCAATCTGCGTAAGAATCCGGTAGGGACTCAAATCCTGTCACCTGAACCTTCATGAGGTTCAGCAAGTGGACTCATCGGCTGAGGGCGTCTGCCATCACGTTCTCCTTGCCCTTCTTGTGGCGAAGGACGAAGGTGAAGTCCTGCAAGTACTCGACCCATCGTGTGTGTCGATCGCTCAACTTCCGTTGAGAGTGCAGATACTTCAAGGCCTCATGGTTCGAGAAGAGCACAAACTCTTTATAAAGGAGGTAATGGCGCCAATGTTTGAGAGCCTGAATGACGGCGTAGAACTCACGATTGTAAGTGGAGTATCTAAGCCTCACATCATTCAGCTTCTTGCTGAAGTACTCTATAGGATGGCCTTCCTAGCTAAGGACACCCCCAATACCGACACTCGAGGCGTCACAGGCGACCTCAAATACCTTGCCAAAGTCGGGTAGGTGAAGTATCAATGCCTGAGTGATAAGAGCCTTCACCCGATCGAAGGCCTATTCAGCTGCCTCTATCCAAAGGAAGGTCTCCTTCTTGAGGCAATCAGTAAGCAGAGTGGTAATGGAACTAAAGTCTTGAATGAAGCGACGGTAGAACGTCACTAGTCCAATGAAGCTCCGGATGTCATGCATGCTGCCTGGCCATGGCCAGGTGACTATCGCGCGGACCTTTTCGGGGTCCGTGGAAACTCCTCGCTCAGAGACAACAAAACTGAGGAACGTAACCTCGGAAGTGAAGAAACTACACTTCTTAGGATGGGCATAAAGCTTCTCCTGTCGAAGTGCCTCAAACACTTGTCGTAAGTGCTGGAGGTGGGAGCCTCAAGTACCGCTGTAGACCAAGATGTCATCGAAGTATACTACGACGAACTTGCCAATAAATAGGTGTAAAATCTCGTTCATTAGCCTCTGGAATGTACTGGGCACGTTGGAGAGGCCAAATGGCATGACCCTCCACTCGTACAGGCCCTCCTTGATCTTGAAGGCAGTCTTCCACTCGTCCCCTAGACGTATCCTGACCTGATGATAACCACTGCATAGATATATCTTTGAAAAGATAGTGGCTCCTATCATCATGTCGAATAAGTCCTGTAATTGCGGGATCAAAAAATGGTATTTAACCGTTATCCTATTGATCGCGCGACTGTTGCAACACATGCGCCAAGTGCCATCCTTCTTCGGCGCTAGTAATGCAGGCATGGCGCAGGGACTAAGGCTCGGCTAGATGAGTCCTTTGTCCAAAAGCTCTTGTATCTATCGACTAAGCTCCTCGTACTTGGCCGGCTCTATGTGATAGTGTGGCAGGTTCGAGAGTGATGCTCCAGGAACCAAGTCGATAGCATGCTGAATGTGCCTCAATGGAGGCAGGTCTCTAGGAAGCTCCTCTAGGAGTACATCGGCGTACTCTGATAATATACCCTCGACTTTTGGAGAAGGCGGGGTAAGGGTCGTGTTGTCTCGCATATCCAAAGCAAGAGCGAAGCACGTTGGGGATTCATCTATGTCTGACGTGATCTCATGCTGAAAGGCAGGTCCCTTCATCACGATTAACCCAACACGTGACTTAGGGTCACGCTTTGGTGTGGGCTTGTTGATATGCGGATACCAAACAAGTCGGCGATCTCAATACATGAAAGAGCAAGTGTTTGCTCTTCCCATGAGTTGGACGTCATAGTCAAACAACCAGGGCTGTCCAAGTATGATGCCGTCGTTTTTCATCGGAAGGACATCACACAAGATGTGCTCATCATAGGTGCTCACCCTAAGTGGCACTTGGCATTGTCAACGAATGGGTAGTGCGGTGGCGTCTATCCACAATACGTCGTAAGGGGCTGGATGGCTGATAGTATTCAGCCCTACCCTCTACAAGACCTAGTCTGACACAGCATTGACGCAACTGTCACTGTCCATGATCACCTTGTAGGCGTGTCCGTTGCTCTTCACATAGGTGTAGAAGGTCGACGTGCGAAAGGAATCGTTTGTCGTAGGTGAAGATGTGGGCATAGTCGTCCTCGGTGCCGGGGTGATCTCTCTAGCTGCCGTGGTGTCAGGCTGTGGTATAAGAATCGCATCTCGAGATGGACGCTGGACAGCGATGCTGACCAATCTCCTCGATGAAGTGCTTGTCGATGAGGTAGCGAGAGAGGCAGCCTCAGTTGTTGGTACGGTGGCTGGCCGGATCTGGATGTAGCCAATTAAATCAGGAGTGTCATCACACTCCTCGGCCAAACCCTCGTCAGCAATGTAGACATCATCGCCTACAGGGACGTCAGCCTCGTGTGAACCTCTACCCAATTCTTCGATCTCTATGAGGAGATTTGAAGATGGGCATTGGCTCATCCGGTGCCCCTTACCCTTACACTTGAAACAAGTGATATGGGCTTGGGATGCGGCCGTAGCACGATTGGATGCGTCGGCTGGTGGTGGACGTGAGGGTGGTGCAGAGCCTACTGATATTGCCGGTGTAGTCTGTCCGTTCCCTATACTAGTACACGTCAGTGTTGTTGTCGATGTCTGTGCAGATCGCGTGGACGCGATCTTCATGGTGATCAGAGGTGGGGTGAATTGTGTGTCCTCGGCGGGTCGCTCCATATGCTCTACAATGGGGTAGGCCTCGTCTACTTCGGATGGATTGCCTTTCAGCACTTCGTTCCGAAGCCGCAGACTAAGTCCGTGGGTGAAAATGCCCAAAACCACATGTGAGTCCTCGACAAAGCAACACCTCATGCGGCACTCCTCAAAAGCCTGAATATAGTCTTGGATAGGCATCTTGCCCTATCGGAGGTCTAACCAATTGAGGAACAGCATCGACTCGTACTGTCGAGGAACATACTTGTTCCTCAAGCGTGATGCCATATCAACCTATGGTGTGATGGGCTGCCCTCGTCAGTGTGCCGTGTAGCTCTTGTTTTCTCAAAAGATCTTGGCCTGTCTGCCAAGTCTCAGCTCTGCATACTCCGCGCATAAATCATCATCCATGCGGTACCATCGAAAATAGGAGTTCATACTAGACTCCCAATCTATGAAGTCCTTGGGCGAATGGGAGCCATCAAAGAGTGCCACATCGGCGCGCACACTTTTCAGTATGCGGGCCCTGTGATCCTCACGTCGTCTGTCCCGATCATCCAATTGATCGGCCTTATGGTCACCACCAAAGTCACAATGGGGAGGACTTGGGTAACGCCTTTGATCGTAGTAACGATCCTGGTGGGCATCCTGGGGTGCTTGGTGAAAGTCCGGAGCACGCTAGTAGTCGCAGTAGGAATCATCGCGATCTCGTGGCTGACGCTCTGCTTGCCGATCAAGCTCCTCTCGTCAGGAAGGGTCAGCTCTGTAACCCGGAAGGTCTCTCTTGTCGTATCCCTGGTTGCGTCCGTGGGGTCGATAGTCCTCATAGTGAGGTCGGGGTGGTGGTGGTGGCGAACGTGGGAGATCGTCCCTACGAGCAGGGTAGACCAGCTCGCGGCGATCATAAGTATCCTGTGGCCAATGACCGCCCAATCGATCGTGGCCATCGTCGTGACGTGGTGTGTCGCGGCGACGAAGATTCCCTCGATGATGATCATGATCGAGGTACTGGTGATCATATGGATCACTATAGGGGCTCACAGGCCGGCGGGGCTCGTGATGCTCCTGATATGCCTCTGTAATAGGCAGTGCAGTCAGTGGTGCAATCGGATATGTGACCGACGGTGGAGCCGGTGGCGGTGGGCCATGAGCTGCAGCTACAAAGGTAGCTCGCTCCAGACGCTCAATAGTCTGGGTCAAGCTACACATGACATCATCTGGGAGGGAGCGTGCTCCATCCCTCGAAGGGTACCGGGGCGAAGGTTGCCTTCGGCCACCTCTGTCACGACCCCTAGTACTCTTCGGTGGATAGTAGGGCATAGATTCCTTCCCAGCTCGGCGGCTCGTAGCCGTGGGCGGCTGGGGCCACCCTAATGCCTCTCTGGCTGACATAGGACTCAGAGTCTCCCGGGGTCGGGAGGGGTCTGGTACCGAATCTGTCGGTCTCAATGGAGATGGTGGACTCGTGTCCACTCTAGCTACTCAAGGAGTAGCGGGATCTGACGCCTCGCACGAGTGCCGTGATGATGGTGAACCTCCTCGAGCTCTGGCTGAGCATGTCTCTACCATTGCTCGGTCCTACGGGTGCCTAGATGCCAATGTAATCCTATATGAATGGTCTACTGGTGGTATGGAAGCTCGGTGAGCATCCTTAGGGGACCGAGGTTAGGTGGTAACCCAACCTGGCTCTGATACCAATTTGATGTAGGACGGGGTAAGAACCCTTGTACCTGATCAATGAAACTCAAGACCTAGGATGGAGCAATGAAAAGGAGATCGGATAAGAATGTATGGACCCTAGACTCTAGGTCTGACCACCTAACCTTAGTATAAGCAGGCATACCAATATGCACAATCAACTCAAGACAACCCGGGGAAACACTCGACGATGGTAAGTGTGAGGCCCTCTCGGTCCACATTCGGATAGACAGCAAAACGATCATCGTGAAGTAGCCTAGGGCTGCAGCTCACGAGTGGTGACAAGTCTGGCGCAGCATCGGAAGTCACAACCTGATAACCCGTCCCATCCTGTCTACGTTCTCCTGATGGCGGTGGAAATGAGCCGAGAAAACCCTTCGAAAGATAATTGAACTTAAGAGGAAGGGGTACGGAGCTAACCTTCAGGGCTGTGTAGCCCGGCGGGTCGTGATGGAGCAGAGACTCAACATAAGCAAAGACCTCCAGGGAAGAGCAACGCTCAGCGTCGACGGTCAGTCCTAGTCGAGAAGTCACCGTAGTCGTCGTCGTAAGGCGTGGCACGGTCGGCGCGGGCGTGGGCACGCTGGTGGGCCGAAGGGCACACTAGCAAGCGCGTGCGGCAAGCCACGTGGTGTACCTCAGGGCACGCGGGTGGCGGCGCCGGGTGGGTGCGCGGGGCGTGTGTGGCGGCGGTGCTTCGGGGGGAAGGCCGAGCGTCAGCGGCGCTTCGGCGGGAATGCCAAGCGTCAGCGGCTCTCGGCGGGAATGTCAAGCGTTAGCAGCGCTTCGGTAGGAATGCCGAGCGTCAGCGGCACTTCGACGGGAATGCCGAGCATCAGCGATTAGGCGGAAACCCAATTGTCGCTGGAAGGATCGGCTTTCTCTGGCGGCGCTGGGAAGTGGAGCAGAGGAAGGAGACGATCTAGCTGACGATACTAAGGAGGGTTGAGCCCTCTCGATCTAGGCGGCGCTGGAAACGGCGTGATAAGTCTTCATTATCATGAGTTAATAATTAGTAAATAATATAGTTTTAGCCTTAACTTGTGATAAATAGACTTATATTTGTGTTAAAGTGTGAAAAGTTGTTTTCAGTTGATTAATGTGATTTTTTGGGTAATTATGTGATTTTATACGAATTTATATGATTTTTATAGTCTTACTTTTGAGATAAATGAAGAAAAAGAAATAAAACTAAAATATTGCAAAATGGGGGGACCCGCCGGCTAGCCGGGCCTGCAAGTGGGTCGGAAGCTCAGTCAGGGAGTAGCCGCGAGCAGGGGCTCAAGCGGCTTGGACCGATAGGGGCACATGTGCGCCACTCCCCTTCCACGTCACCGGTGGCTAGCCAGCTGTGGGGCAAGGAGTGGTCGTACACACGAGAGAAGGGACTTTGCTTAAAAAGCTAACATTACTATTTATTCGCCTGAAAAATCGACGCACAACCGATGTGGGACTAAACCCACGTCACACCTTCCTCAAAAGGGGCGGACAACCGGCGCGGGTTCGAATCCTCCTAGAGTCAAAATTCATATCTTTTTATCTGATTATCGCGAGTTTCCTACAGATCGCCGGTGAAGGATTAAGCAACCAGAATCGCTGGATCATCGGCGAAAATCTCGTCAACGCGATTCGCAGAGCATTGCTACTAAAATTGCTGAACGATTCGCGATAAAAGGATCGCGAATCCATCGAGTAAATCATCTCTGATTGATCGACGAACAAGCCGTCGTCGAGAAGAGGACGATCTGCCGGGAGACGAGTCGCCACCTCCTGAGAGCGTACCAGATGCGATGAAGAGCCTCCTCTTGCTCCGCGGACTTGAGGATGAAGCTCCCTGACACGCGCCCTACCTCCATCTAGCTCCTTTCTGTCGGGTGACAGCCGCAGGAGAGCCGCAAAGTCGCCGTTTTTCCGCTCTGCCGGGTGACAGCCGCCGGAGACGACTCGACGACCCATTTCATTAATCTCTAGACTTTACGAGAAGATCTAGAGATTGCCCACGCCGTCCTTGTCTAAGGAGAGCCTTCGAGGCCGTGGACACTGCACGACAATCCTCCCAAACACTCAGAATTCCGGTGCATCGCCGACGCATTGCCGTCGTGATGCCGGAACTCTGTTTTCCTACTTCCAACTTACTTTACGCTTCATTTAGTGATATTTTTTGTGATTTTAATTTACCAAAATATACTTTGTTCTATTACGATTCTTCTGGCTTTTATAGATCTTAATTTGATTAATTAAATCATCTATAATCGCTTACGTAAGAATTGTCGAGCGGAACTCTATTTCTGCCCGATTCGCATTCGTCGGGCGCTGACGTCATCCTGACGTCCGCACCCTTATTTCCCTTTTTCGTGAATTTTAAATATATTTCCTTTTCATTTCCTAGTATACAATTCATAGAAAATCGTATTCATTGAGAAAAATTCTGAATAATTACCATATATTATATTAAATCCTTGTGATCGACCTGGAAAATTACTACTATTTTTGGGAGTTTTATTGAATTATAATTGATATATTTGTTCAGAAATACTTCTAAATATCTGAAAATTCGTATTTTCTAGTTTTATAAATTTTATATTTGCGTGATTTAATATACAACGACTAAGTCACATCAACCATCATCACGGCACTCGTACGAGGCCTTAGATCCCGCTACTCTCTGAGTAGCTAGAGTGGACACGAGTCCACCATCTTCGTCGAGATCGACGGATTTGGTACCAGACCCCTCCCGACCCCGAGAGACTCTGAGCCCTATGTCGGCCAGAGAGGCATCAAGGCGGTCCCAGCCGCCTGCGGCTATGAGCCGCCGAGCTGGGAAGGAATCCGTGCCCTACTATCCACCGAAGAGTACTAGGGGTCATGGTAGAGGTGGCCAATGGCAACCTTTGCCCCGGTACCCTTCAAGGGATGGAGCGCGCTCCCTTCCAGATGATGTCATGTGTAGCATGACCTAGGCTATTGAACATCTGGAGCGAGCTACCTTTGTAGCCGCAGCTCATGGCCCACCGCCACTGGCTCCACTGCTGGTTGCGTATCCGGTCGCACCACTGACCGCACCCCCTATTACATAGGCATATCAAGAGCATCGCGAGCCCCGCCGGCCTATGAGCCCCAATAGTGATCCATATGATCACCAGTACCTCGATCACGATCATCATCGAGGGAATCTTCGTCACTGCAACACACCACGTCACGACGATGGCCACGATCAATTGGGCGGTCGTTGGCCACAAGATACTTATGATCACCACGAGCCGGTCTACCCTGCTCATAAGGACGATCTCCCACGTCCACCACCACCGCCACCCGACCCCACTACGAGGACTATTGACCCCACAGACGCGACCAAGGACACGACTCAGTCGTTGTATATTAAATCACGCAAATCTAAAATTTATAAAACTAGAAAATACGAATTTCCGGATATTTAGAAGTATTTATAAATAAATATATCAATTATAATTCAATAAAAGTTCCAAAAATAGCGGTAATTTCCCAGGTCGATCACAGGGATGTAATATAATATTTTGTAATTATTCAGAGTTTTTCTCAATGAATACGATTTTCTATGAATTTTATACTAGGAAATGAAAAGGAAATATATTTAAAATTCACGAAAAAAAAAGAGGAAATAAGGGTGCGGACGACAGGATGACGTCAGCGCCCGGCGAACGCGAATCGGGCAGAAACAGAGTTCCGCCCGGCGATTCTTACGTAAGCGATTACAGACGATTTAATTAATCAAATTAAGATCTGTAAAAGCCGGAAGAATCGTAATTGAACGAAGTATAGTTTGGTAAATTAAAATCACACAAAGTATCACTAAATAAAGTGTAAATTAAATTGAAAGCAGGAAACCAAAGTTCCGGCGTCGCGATGGCGATGCGTCGGCGATGCACCGGAATCCTGAGCGTTCGGGAGGATCATCGTGCAGTGTCCACGGCCTCGAAGGCTCTCCTTGGACAAAGACGACGTGGGCAATCTCTAGATCTTCTCGCGAAGTCTAGAGATCAATGAAGTGGGTCGTCGAGTCGTCTCCGACGGCTGTCACCCGGCGGAGCGGAAAAACGGCGACTTTGCGGCTCTCCGGCGGCTGTCACCCGACGGAGAGGAGCTGGATGGAGGTGGGGCGCGTGTCAGGGAGCTTCATCCTCAGGTCCGCGCAGCAAGGGGAGGCTCTTCATCGCATCTGGTACGCTCTTAGGAGGTGGCGACTCGTCTCCCGGCGGATCGTCCTCTTCCCGATGACGGCTTGTTCGTCGATCAATCGGAGATGATTTACTCGATGGATTGCGATCCTTTTATCGCGAATCGTTCAGCAATTTTAGTAGCAATGCTCCGCGAATCGCGTTGACGAGATTTTCGCCGATGATCCAGCGATTCCGGTTGCTTAATCCTTCACCGGCGATCTGCAGGAAAGTCGCGATAATCAGTTAAAAATATATGAATTTTGACTCTGGGAGGATTCGAACCCGCGGCGGTCGCCCGCCCCTGAACAAGGTGTGACGCGGGTTTAGTCCCACATCAGTTGTGCGCGGATTATTTGGGCGAATATATAGTAAAGTTAGCTTCGTAGGCAAAATCCTCTCGCGTGTACGACCACTCCTTGCCCCACAGCCGGCTGACCACCGGTGACGTGGAAGGGGAGTGGCGCACACGTGCCCCTATCGATCCAAGCAAGCTGCTCGAGCCCCTGCTCGCGGCTACTCCCCGACTGCGCTTCCGACCCGCTTGCGGGCCCGGCTGGCCGGCGGGTCTCCCCATTTTGCAATATTTTTATTTTTATTTCTTGTTCTTCGTTTATCTCAAAACTAAGACTGTAAAAATCGTATAAAATCACATAATTACCCAAAAATTCACGTTAATCAACTGAAAACCATTTTTCATGCTTTAACACAAATATAAGTCTATTTATCATGAGTTAAGGCTAAAACTATATTATTTACTAATTATTAACTCATGATAATGAAGACTTATCACACCCCCCAACTTAAATCATTGCTAGTCCCTTAGCAATGGAATTACGAAAATAAAAATTTACAAATCTCAAACATCATATTCAATACAGAAAAGAAATACAATTAGAAATGATGCACCTTAAAACACTTTGGATTCTTATATCAAGTATTTAAGAATGATGTCAAGCACTTAAATGTTTAAACACTCCTTGGAATAACAATCTAGACTTCACTTCTTCTATTCACATCTTTATCACTTCTTCACTCATAGATGTATTTACAAGATGTTCCAATTATCAATACTCATCCAAGAATAATATTGATCTTACATTTCCCTTTTTCTATGACTTGATTTTTGAAGTTTGCACTATATTTCTTCCTTCTTTTTTTTTTTATATATATAGTGGATAAGTAGCTTTTCCTGTAGACAAATTTCAACAATAAGAATGATGTCTCACACCCTCCATGTGTGCTCTTCATTTTCAGGGCTTTCACTTTATCCACTTATTTTTTAGCAAGTGTTTTTCTATGCACGATTTTCGACAATGAGAATGATGTCTCACACCCTCCATGTGTACTCTTCGTTTCTAGATTTTTCACATTGCTCTCTCTTTTTTTTTTTTTTTTTTGAAATAAGTGATTTCTCCTCACAAGTCCTATAGATCAGGGTGCAAAAATCTCCATTAAACTCAAATGATCAATCAAATTTTCACATCAAGTAAATATTATCCATCAAGATCATGAAGTGAAAATCTGTAAAATCAAATCCATGTTATCTATCATGTATCCAAGGAGTATTCCAACATTTCATGCTACTAGATCATTCTTTTGACTCAATAATAATCTTCCTAGTATCTTTTGGTATCAATCAATCTAATTGATTTAATTTTTCATGCATGCAATATGATGTAAGGAATTTGTAAATTAGATAGTTCTGACAGTTCTGTTTTCTATTTTCAGTTCTATTTTAGGAGCAATAAATTTATCAAAAATAAATCAAAACTATCTTCTTTATAGCTGTAATTTCGAATTTCAGTAATATATGTCTAGGGGATTGAAATGTGAGAAAAGGGTCTCTATAATTTCAAATTTCGGGTTGTTTTTTCATCTGCTGTTTTTAACAGTCTGTTGTTCCTGACAGAAAACCAGAAAATAGATGTTGCAGTTTTTCCGAATTCGGCGATTTTTTTTTATTTTTTTAGTTGCTGTTCTAAGTTGAATAAAATGCAAACACATGTTCTTAATCGTCCTACAGCATAAATTAATAATGAATACTTCCCCCCCGACTTAAAAATGACATTGTCCTCAATGACACAAAAAAAATCGAAACAGAATATGCAGAAAATATAATTTTCAAGTAAAGCATGCATATATGCAAAGTTAAGCATTAAAAATATTGTCATAAATGATAAAGCTCAGAAAGACATCATCTCAACCTCGTTTTTAATTTTCCACTTCATCTTACACACCTCCTCCTGCACTTCTTCGAAAAAAAACAAATACAGAAACAAGTACTGCGAAATTCTAAGAAAAACAGAGCTTAAAAAAAATCAAACAGAATGAAATAAAAACCATGGGTTGCCTCCCATGCAGCACTGAATTTAATGTCTCCAGCTGGACTCCTTGATCTTACTCTTGAATTTCTTTTAATAATAAAATTTCTTTTTCTGCAAGGCGTTCATGTTCTATGTAATGTTTAAGCCGCTGTCCATTTACCTTAAAGTTATGATCACTTTTAGGATCTTTAATCATTACAGCCCCATGATCATATGTCTCTTCCACCACATAAGGCCCTTTCCATTTTGATTTTAATTTTCCTGGAATAATTTCAGCCTAGAATCATATAACCACACTTTTTGTCCAACATCAAATTTTTTTCTGCTAATGTATTTATCATGAAAAGTTTTAGTTTTTTCTTTATATATTCTATGATTTTCATAAGCTTCATTCCTCAACTCCTCTAGTTCATGTAACTGAAAAATTCTATGCCCACCAGCTGATTTTTCATCCATACATAAATTTTTTATAGCCCATAATGCTTTATGCTCTATTTCCACAGGAAGATGACATGGCTTTCCAAAAATGAGACGAAATGGGGACATACCTATGGGATTTTTATAAGCTGTTCTATAAGCCCATAATGCATCTTGTAATTTCGTGGGCCAATCTTTCCTATCTGGTCTAACTATTTTTCTCAAAATTCTCTGAATTTCCTTATTTGCTACTTCAACTTGCCCATTTGTTTGGGGATGATATGGAGTGGCTACTCTATGGTGTACTCCATTCTTTTTCAACAGTTCTCTGAAATTTTTATTTGTAAAATGTGTTCCTCCATCACTAATAATCACTCTAGGACATCCAAATCTCGAAAAAATATTTTCCTACACAAATTTCATCACGATTTTATGATCATTAGTTCTAGTAGGAATAGCTTCCACCCACTTCGACACATAATCAACAGCAAGCAAAATATATTCATATTTTTCAGCTGATGGGAAGGGACCCATGAAATCTATTCCCCATACATCAAAAATTTCGACTACTAACATGTTACTCATGGGCATTTCATCTTTTTTACTCATGTTACTTATAGATTGGCATGAAATACATGTTCTACTAAATTCTATAGAATCTCTAATGATTGTAGGCCAATAAAAACCACACTGAAAAATTTTTGCAGCTGTTTTTCGTCTAGAGAAGTGTCCTCCACAGTTAGATGAATGGCACATGTTAATAATGCTATGGTATTCTTCTTCAGGAACACATCTCCTTAAAATTTGATCATTGCCCAAGTAATATAAATCAGGATCATGCCAAAAATAATTTCTAATCTTAGAAAAGAAATGATTTTTTCTGTTCTTATCCCACTGTTCTGGAGTTTTTCCAGAAACCAGAAAATTAACAATATGTGCATACCATGGTGATGGTTGATGTTGAGCTGCCATCAATTGTTCATCTGGAAATGCGTCTTGTAAAGGTGCTGCATTTATTCCTGTGTCACTTAATCTAGAAAGATGGTCAGCAACAGCATTCTCGAAACCTTTTTTATCTTTTATTTCTAAGTCAAATTCCTGCAACAATAAAATCCATCTTAATAAACGTGGCTTTGCATCTTTCTTATTTAACAGATATTTTAATGCTGCATGATCAGTATAAATAATAATTTTAGCTCCCAAAATATATGATCTAAACCTTTCTAACGAAAATACTACAGCTAACAACTCTTTTTCAGTCGTGGTATAATTTAATTGAGCATCGGATATAGTTTTACTAGCATATAAAATTACTATGAGTTTTGACTCTTTTGTTTGTCCTAGAACAGCCCCCACTGCATAATTCGATGCATCACATATTATTTCAAAGGGAAGGGACCAATCAGGAGCTTGTAAAATGGGTGCCTCAGTAAGTAATCTTTTTATTACGGAAAAAGACTCAAAACATTTCTCATCAAAATTAAAAGGCATATCTTTAGATAATAGCATGGTGAGAGGTTTAGAAATCTTCGAAAAATCTTGAATAAATTTTCTGTAATAACCTGCATGACCCAAGAAAGATCTAATCTGTTTTACTGAATTTGGAGGTTTCATTTTAGATATAATATCAATTTTTGCTCTATCCACCTCTAAACCCCTTTTACTCACAATATGACCCAACACAACTCCCTCTTTAACCATAAAATGTGATTTCTCCCAACTCAAAACTAATTTTTTCTCTATGCATTTCTCAAGTACATGCTGTAAATGATTTAAGCATTCATCAAATGATTCGCCAAAAACAGAAAAATCGTCCATAAAAATTTCCATGCATTTTCCAATCATATCAGAAAAAATAGACAGCATACATCTTTGAAATGTGGCTGGAGCATTACACAGACCAAAAGGCATGCATTTAAAAGCAAAAGTACCAAATGGACAAGTGAAAGTTGTTTTTTCTTGATCTAAAGGGTTTATATAAATTTGATTATAACCAGAGTATCCATCTAGAAAACAAAAAAAGTTTTTTCCAACTAATTTTTCTAGAATTTGATTAGTAAATGGTAGGGGAAAATGATCTTTTCTAGTAACTGAATTTAATTTTCTATAATCAATGCAAACTCTCCAACCGGTAGTTAGTCTTGTTTGTATTTCATCCCCATTTTCGTTTTTTATAACCGTAATCCCTGATTTTTTTGGCACTACTTGTGTAGGACTAACCCATTTGCTATCTGAAATAGGATAAATAATATCAGCAGCCAGCCACTTTAAAATTTCCTTTTTTACAATTTCCATCATGTTAGGATTTAATCTTCGTTGTGGTTCCCTACTAGTTCTAGCCCCCTCCTCTAAATATATACTATACATGCATACACTCATATCAATGCCCCTTAGATCGTCCATTTTCCAGCCCATAGCTTTCTTATTTTTTCGAAGTACATCTAATAATTCTTCTTCCTGTTCATCACTCAAATCAGCTGCAATAATAACAGGAAATGAATTATTTTCCTCCAAAAACATATATTTTAAACTAGAGGGAAGAGGTTTCAACTCTAAATTCAGATGATCTTCCTCTTTCTTTTCTTCTAAATTTATATTCTCTATTTCCTCTAATTCTTTCAGCACACAGTCATCAATAACATCTGGATCATCAAAATCATCTAGAAGATCTATGGTATGACAATCATATACTTGGGATTTCTTAATATCATTTGATATCTCAAAAATTTTAATTTCTACTGATTGATCTCCACATGAAATTTTCGCAATACCTGTGAGAAAATCAATATTCATCTTTTCTGTATGCAAAAATGGTCTCCCTAAGATGATTGGTGTATCATAAAACTGTCCATTAAAATCCATTTTCAGTACTATGAAATCAGCTGGAAATTTACACCCTTTAACTGTCACTATCACATTTTCTAAAATACCTTTAGGATGTTTTATGGATCTATCAGCAAATTGTAAGGTAACAGTAGAAAGTTTAAGATGAGAAATATTAAATTTATCACAAATACTTGCAGGTAATAAATTAATGCTAGCACCGGTGTCAAGTAATGCATTCTGAAAAATGAATCCATCAATATCACACGAAATCAAAGGGGCACCTGTATCTCTCAATTTATATGGTAATTGATTTAATAATAATGCACTAGCATGCATAGATAATTTTTCTACTCTAGGTGCCCTTTTTGGTGTACACATTTCTTTCAAAACTCTAGCATATTCAGGAATATGTTCAATGGCAGTAAGTAAAGGAAGACTAATTTGCACATCTTGTAAAATTTTCTTTATTTCTTCATTGTGTTCCTTTTTCTTTCTTTGTCTAGGCTCTAGAGCTTTAGGAAATGGAATGGTTGTCCTCTCTTTCGAAATTTCCTTGGTAGAATCTATAAAATCCTCTTCTACTCCTATTTGATTTTGTTTTGGGTTGTCCACGTTTTCTTTTTCTTCTAATGTTTGGGGATAAGGATCAGCTAAGATCTTACCACTCCTTAATGCATTCACTGTCCTAACATTTTCATTTCGTGGGTTTTTTCCTAGATTCATGCTGAAATCCTATTGTTGGGCGGTTCCCTGGATTTTCTATGGGCTGACTAGGTAGCTGTCCCTCTTCTCTCTTATTCCCAAGAGCCTCTATAATTTGTTTCTGGTGCAGCATCATTTGGTTCATAGTTTGTTGCATCATTTGGCTCATTTGCTGCATCATTTCCATAGCATCAGGTTGGATTTGAGAGGACTGATTTTTCTGAAATCTGTTTTCTTGTTTTGGACGAAATTCAGAGTTTGAATTGGGTCTAAGTGCTTCTGGATTTTGAATATTATTTGGGTCTCTCCATGAAAAACTATTCCTCCAATTAGGATTATAAGAATTTGAAAAAGGTTCCCTGTTTCTATTAAAACCGTGAGCCACTTGCACTTGTTCTTGCATAGGGTGAAATGATTGATCTAAATTATAACATTGAAATTCAGAATAATCGTTTTCACCATACATAGGACATGTACTATTCGAATTAAGTTGAGAGTTAAAAGGCTTTCTAATATTGTCAATAAGTAAATCAATTTTTTCTAATCTTTGATTAATCTGATTAACCTCATTTCTAAGTTTAGAATCATCATCATGATGCAATTCATAAATTCCTCTCTTCTTATCCCTGTCATATAATTCAAAAGAGGCTTGATCTCTAGAATTTTCACTTAAATTCTCATAAAGACTGTAAATCTCATCAGGAGTTTTCTCCATAAAAGCTCCTCCACATATAGAATCAACCATATTTCTATGTTGTTCTAATAATCCATCATAAAAAATTCTATTGAGCTGCCACTTGGGTATAGCATGATGAGGACACTTTCTAAGTAAATCTTTAAATTTTTCCCATGTCTCATGCAAAGTTTCTCCTGGTCTTTGATAAAAACTCCATATATGTTTTCTCATATTTTGAGTTTTTCCTAAGGGATAAAATTTTCGAAGAAAGGCCTGTTCTATATCTTTCCACCTAGTTAATTCTCTATCTAATGTGGATAGCCAATGACTAGCTTTGTCCCTAAGTGTATGAGGGAATAATTTCATCTTAATAATTTCCGGTGTAACTTGAGAGAGATTAACTAAATCACAGACCATATGAAATTTTTCCAAGTGCTGATGAGGTTCCTCTAAAGGCAATCCATGAAAATTAGGGAGCATTTGAAAAATTCCTGGATTTATTTCGAATTTAATAGTGGGTGCTAATGGGACTCTAATATTGGATGCTCTTTGAAATGAATCAGGGATATAATGATTTTTCATGGCCATAGGATTGTTCTCAGTTTGACCTGTACTTCCTTCAGGATCCATCAAAATTAATTTTTCTTTCGGATTTTTCTTTTTGAATGAAATAATGAAAGGATTTTCTAGCCTTGGATGCAAGGATCTTCTACCATGCATAAAAATCAATAAATTCGAGGGAAAAAGTTAGTAACTGTTACCCTCCTTCAG